GACATATTAATACGGGCGATCCACAATAGTGCGCCCCCAAGAGTTTGCAACGCGTTGACCAATCACAAGGCGCGAAATCTGTCAACCCTTTCCAAAATGTGCATTGGGTCGACAGATTTTGCGCACTGTGACCGGTCAACGCGTTGCAAACTCTTGGAGGCGCACTTTTGTGAAAGGCCCGTAGTGCAGATTTCATCCATCATTGTTTTAGGAAGCAGTTACAGCGGAATGTTTTACAATCAAACACATAAGATGTAGTACCTGAGGTATGACGTCATGTATATCAATATAGCTTTCCCTTTTAGGGTATCTGGGATACTAGACGTACATTGCGCAGACAAAAATTGTGATTACATTAACAGTTCTCTGTGTTTGCATCATCAGACCCATTCGTCGATGTTTCACCGTTTGCAACTCGAAATGTAGACTGCCGACTGAATTATATACACAACAAAATGGTGATGCAATACATTTCATCAGGCGCATGCGTCTGCAGTTCTTACTATCACCATTGTCTGCTTTCTCATGGTGCATTAGGTTTAGCACATTTACGAGGTCTTTTTCTTGACATTTATCGCAAACTTTTTTATCTAGTTGAAAGCACTAAATGTAACGACTAATTCCAATCCTAATAAAAGCAAAACATAAGATCGTCGGGCGCTGATTAGCAGTAATCAGCGTTATGCAGCACCTCCTCCGGCCCAGGTCTTGGGGGCGCCCTTTAGGGCTCACTTTTTAAAGGTGATGATGATCGTCGTCCTGTTGCTGCCGCTGCTCAAAAAACATGAAGTCCTGTGGAAAGAAACACTGCAACTTTACACATTGACAGCGTAAAATGGTAATCCAAGAAATGCGAGAGCTCGACTGGTTTGATGATTTAAAAAATATCTTCATCCAGAGGTGAGCATCTATAAGGTAGGTCTACATTTACAGGTATGATTTGCTTGATGTGATCGGATCTGCGCGATCAGTCGAACACGTTCTGCGCTGTTGGTCGATCATTGGAACCCGGGACTTTACTTCACATTTTCAAAACAGTCATCCACAGCCGTCAACTACAAAGAAAAGATGGTCGGCTGATTGCAGAAAGATCGACTAATCATGCCACAACTGAGTCAAGAGATTGCTCAGAACGATCAATCACGTCCAACATCGATAGAATAATATAGGCTTTTACAGATATAAGAATAGCAACACCAGTAATCTAATGACTGATAAATACAACTTACGATGAGGAAGACAGCTCCAAGCATCGTTGCTTTCATCCCAATGTCAAGATCCATGGGAACTGAAATTGGAGATGTGCCAGTTCGAGTAAGTTCATCTTCATTTGCAATTCCCTAAAACTGAAATATACTAAATAATTTTTTCTATTTTATACCTCCTTTACAAAAAATATATTGTGGCTTCCATGGTTTGATTTGGTGGTCATTACTATCCAATCAGCTGTGGGTGTTTACTGACAAATTCTTCCTCTTACTCAGCCAAATTAGCCTGTAATCCTCATAAAGGTCATTCTAGAAATCAGGGGTCCTGTTTTTTCGTGTCCCTGTCATATCTGACAGGTAAGTTTGTAAGTTCAGAACACATTTGTTTTATCTCCAAGAGTGATGAATTAATGCAAATCACCTGCCAAACAAATAGAAATAGTTTGACGTCAATTTAGGTGATATTTCCATGTCAAATTACACAGGTCAGGTGAAACAGGTACACAAAATGTCACACTTTTGGACCCCGAATTTATAGCATTGGTATATTGCGGAATAACGGTTAATCTGGAGGTTGTATGTTCAGACGCAGCTTGGACCGATTAACCACCTCTTAATGCTAAAGCCTACTCACACGAGATGCCAAAGTTGTCTGCCTTTGTGAAGTACTCCTTGACGAGTCCTGACCATTGCTTACTGATTTTCCCCACCTCCTGCGTTTCATCTCTGTTCATGATCTGATATGGAGAAAAACGAACCTGACAGCATTTGAACATGATGGAATTTCGGTCTCCGTAGTAAGACAGATGTATAGATAACTGGAAATTTGTATTTTTTGGGGGGGGCTTTAAGACAAGGGAAAAGGTCTATTTCACAAAATCGGGATAAAATACCTCGGATGGTGTAGGCCTATACTGACGAACGTACCTGGTGTAAAATGCAACGGGAGACGTTAAGACGCTTAGTGGAGGAAAACAATTCCTTCAGAAAGGTCCACAATTGCTTACGTCACGTTTGAGCAATGTGCGCATGCTCAAAATAATGGAAATAATAGTGGACCGGTCACAAGGGGACTGCATGAGAAATGCAAAACATTTCGAAAGCTACCTGTCAATACATGCCAACCTCCTCATTTGAAATCCTAAACTACCGGGTTGAAAACCCATGGTCGGAGCTAGATGAACAATCGGTGGGCACGTTTTAACCGAGTAAAAGATTAACTCCGACAGAGGGGGAAGTTCTTGGGTGTACCTTGAATTCCTGATCTCCGGTACAGAGAGCACCCTGGCAGATACACACGGGTCCCCGGATCAACAGGACGCATTCCTCTTTCTCATTCAGGATGTCGAACTCTGGCGCCATAAAGCTTGCCCTACGGAAATGTAGCGATCAACATCACATAAACTGAACCCAGTCGAAACCAATACGTGATATTTAGGTATTCTTCATTATATTGCCATCAGTGGATTAAACCGACCAATTAAGTCCCGCCCCATTGTTTTCTGACCAATTCAGGTTATTACTTCTTCCCGACATGTTTACACAAAGGTTTGACATGCGTACATGCGCTTATTATATGCGCGTTTGAAACACCTGGCATCGGAAAAATCAGGTGTATTAATAATAAATAAAAATATCGAACATGGTACTCATATAATCTGCAATTTCAAGATTTATGTTTTATACCCCAACCCAGAAAAATACTCCAGTAGACTCCACTCTTTGAGTCATGTGGGAAATACCACTAATTGACAACATTCCTAGCAATTAAAACTCACGTCTGTTTGACATGGCCGACCACGTGGCCTACGGGCGCTTCTACGGTGATCTCCATCGAGCAAGGGCCTGCGCTTGCGCACCAGCAACACCCGCCACAGTACTTAAATTCCCGGATGACACGCATCACCTCCTGTACAATCCAGGTAAAAATATGAATTTTATGGGTAGTTACGCCGAGAACACACTTGCTTGGCCGAGTAAGCCAACCTAACATCTCCTCCAGTTCCAATGGTCCCATTTTCTTACCGTAAAGTGGGCGTAGTTTACATTGCAATTACGTCATCTTACCGCAGTGGAAATACCCTGTCATTGCAGTGGCTGACTAAGTTGTGGGTGGCTTACCGTGTTGTTGTTGTCAGTGATGTGCATTGTGAAACCGCGCTTTGCTCCGCAACACTGTCTCTGAAACTCGTCCGACTCTGGGTTGTAGAATTAATTTTAAAAAATACACGACGAAGACACGTTCGTGACATCATGTGGGAAATACTGCTGCTAATGTAAATTTTAATGTAGCAGAAAAGACACTACTGTAAAAAGTCTCTTCCAAATAATGTGTCTGATAATAGACAGTTTGAAAATGCAGAGTGCTCTGTTAACGTGCGACTAAAAGAGGATTCAGAATCAAGGAAGAACGAGCTGGAACAAACTAACAAAGGAAATATTTGACCCCATGATACACTAGCTGACCCAAGAATACAGAAAGAAAGTTTACCCGGACGATGTGCAAATACCTAGTTAGTGAGGGTTCCCATAACGATTGACAGAGAAATAAGTTCATGGCCTACTTCATGAAGACACCTGCTCAGTTATCCGTGATTGATTGCGGATTCATCATTTTAGCTGTTTGTGTTGCAAGACGAGGTTGTTGGTTCTTACCTTCATGGGCAAAGTACACCTGCTGGCCCAGGCTGTTCTTGACTTGGTAACGGTTGGCAGTTTCCCAGTTGACCATAACTGAGGTTTCAAAGGAAAGCGTATGTTTTCCGTTTAGTATCCCAAAAGTAGCTAAGAGCGGGCCTTGGGAAGCAGAGCTTGATTGTCTCAGCCATCAGCTTTTACTCAGGGCTGTTATAGAGAGTATGGGGCCAGCTTCAGACTTTGGAACCAAAATGGCTGATTGGTATGTGTCCGGTACAGCATGCAGCTATTCTGTGCTAATTGTCCACCACGTGCACAAACACATAATCCACCATTTTGTTTCCAACAATTGAAACCCTCATGCCACAACTCTCTGTATATACGGGTCAGTTTTTACCAACACTACAACGCTACGAGGAGAGCACATAACTGCACCAGCGCCGTTGAAGTTTTTTCAGTATGATCTCAACGGGGCGTGCAACAGCAGCAAGAGCAAACCAGCGAAAATGTTAATCGGATGCGGTGAACAATTAGTGTGGATTCTTCACCTACCTTCAAACAATTCCACTTGCTGATGCACCAGTAGCTGGTCGATCTGCGACAGGTACTCCAGACCCGGCGGGCAGTTGCTAACAGGCGGGGGAGCCGGCATCCACTGGGCCGGAGCCGGTTGGCCCATCCCGGCCGGTTGCTGGCCATACCCTGGCTGCACGCTCACCATCTGAAAGAGGGATCCAAGACTGACCGTCCATGAACATGAGTACATCTTACACACTGTGTACCTTAAATATCGGTGCTAGCAAACGCTGCCCATTTTCGACATAAAAGGTCAACTTGTGTACCTGCTGACAAGTTTCTCAGTTTATAGTCATTTATTTCAATAAGGTCTATTGATCAGACTGGATAGAATACGTTAATGGAAGTATTTTCCTTGGAATAGAAAAGGTACCTCCCTCTTTTCACTTCCAATGAATACAAATATTAGATTTTTCCCTTGTTGTGACACGCAGAATAAAATCATGCATTAAAAACCAGTTGCACTGAATATTCACTGCATGTTTCCTTAAGATTGATTTCTGTAATCGTGATCCATGTCTCTACTCCGACGCAGTCAGTGTAACCCAATAACAACTCAATGTCGCATTAAAATTAAGACAACCTGAGAAAGGTTTTGAAGAGTCTTTCATTTGAAATCGATGGCGCCTGAAAATCCGAGATGCACAGCGATGCAAGTATATGATGCTAACGGACAGCTCATCAATGTATAGGAAACCACCCTTGCTATTACTTGTGGACTAATTATTTTGATGGAAAATATGTTTTGGATATAATAGTCTGTGTCTATCACTTGGAATTCACACTGTGAACAAACCTATATCGCCCTATTCTCATCGGCAGTTTGACAAGTTTTGTAAAAACACAGACACGCAAAATCACTTATTTGTAGCTTATTTTGTTTAATTTCCTCCACTGTTTCCAATCTCTGCTTTTGTTTTTAAACTGATATTTCAATAATGTGATTTTATTTGTAACGTATGAATTAATTGTCATACTTCCTTCCAAAAGGGAAAAACACAGCTGAAATTATTAATCGATAGCCTCCTCCATAATGGAGCACAACCGCCACTTTGCTGAGTGATTTCATTTTTCTGTTCAGAGGAGGAAGTCCATCTGTCGTCCTATGACCTCATGCGCGCAGGTGGTATACAAATTTTGGGAAACAGCGCTCAGGCTACGAACGTGGAAGGAGGACCCTTAAGTTAGACGCCCGGAGAATTTTTCGAATCACAATGTACTGTATCCATGGCAAAATGCTAGTGAGCAGGTCTACGTGTGCAGCTGTGTCAGTCACTTCGCATAATGACGAGCTTCAAACATATGCATCGCGTCCAAAATTCGGTTTCGTTTGATACGTCCGTGCCCTGTCTGAATACATTTGAATGGCGTACGCTTTAATCGAACCCTGACACGGCATGATTGTTTGATTGATAAAACAACATCTACTCCTCTACGCCCATCTTGATTGGCGAACTCGGCGCGTATCTGTGAACCTGAAAAGGGCATAACGCGCGTGTGGAGGTCATAAGGATACGACTGTGCATGTCTGCGCCTGCGTGTTTGGATGCCGAATGGGGGGGGGCGAATAATCTATTCTACTTGTTTATTAGACTTTGAATCTAAGATATCCGGAGCGCGCTGTCGTGAATATTTTACATTGGTTCTACCATTTCCTTGCCAAGAAACTGCGGGCATTTTAAGCATCAAACTGCACAAGGGCTGCAGGGTATTGAATAGGAGCAAACCGTATGATCTCTAATTTCAGCTGCCCACGTCGTGAAGTATTTCAGCAACGCCTTGATAACAATAAAGACATCACAAACGAGGAGAAATGGTGAGAAATAAGAAGGGAGAGATTTACCGGCATTTGCTGTTGCACTTGTCCAGCTGGATAGCCCGCTGCCGGTGGATAGCCCTTCCAACCAGGAGCAGGTGGTGGGTATCCTGCCCCGGTACCGGGTGGTGGTGGGTAGCCTGCTCCGGCAGCCGGTGGTGGGTAGCCGCCTGGCTGGCCGTACGCTCCCGGCTGCTCAGGCGGTTGAGGCGGTGGGCCTTGCTCCATGCCGAATATCCACCCACGACACACAAACACAAGATTAAACGGAGGGAAGGGTTTCCTGGAGGGAACAAATCTATGTCTGCTAGAAACGAAAATCGAGCTTGTTTTCGCTCAGTGATCGGCTGTGTCGCGTGATACCGTGAGTCACACTAACCGGGAAAATATCGCTGCGTGCATTAACATTTAATAGGCTAGCGTCGCTCTCACAGCGGTCACGACCAATGGCAACCCGGGCTCACGACTACGTCATTTTGCTATGTGCATGAGCGTCCTGCAAGGGAGTACATGAACTAGAAATCGTTTGCCATCGAATTATTAAACAAGAGTATGGATCAAACACTGATAAGTATGCTCCAAAGTCCACACAGGTCGGCCTTTCTGGGCCAACCTTACTGTCGAATTTTAAATTAAGTAGAAAGCAAAACTTGTTTGATGTCGCGGACACAAAGAACCAAAAAAAAAGATAGATATTATACAAATATGTACCCCTGGGACTATTACAGTTCTCTGTAAACTGTACAATAGCTATCGAACTGACTGGAGCAAAATATAGCAGCGCGAGGGACAGACTGAGCCGTGTGGAGAAATCTCCGGCAGATGCGAGCAAACCTTAGAACTGTAAAATTCACTTTCTTCCGACTGTAAGCGAAAATGTACTCACGTGAATCGATGGATGGTGTCACTCCTTTTTTTTTATTATAGAAAGGGTTCCTTTCAATCTATTTCATTCTAAAATTCGAGTGATTTTTACCCAGAATCGTTTAACACCCAGTGTGACTCTTAGGATAAAAGCGAGTTAATATGCATTCGATACAATCATGTACGCGCCACTCCAAAAAATACATTTTGACGGCCACGTACGTTTGATCCCCTTTCATTCAGTCAAATAAATTCCTTCTCCTTGTGAGAAAGAGAATAAAATTCAAATGACATGTACACAATTCAGGTTACTGTGCTATTTTATTGCAGAATCAGATTAACCACTACAGATTTTGCTTATTTTAAAACGCGAACACAGTTGAGCTGCAAAGAATAGTTATGTACAGATCGATTGCGAAAAACGAAGTTCTTATAAAAAGCATTAAAAGCCAAAGTGTCATGTCATGGTAGATTAATTTATACCAAAGCAGTCAATCGATCAATCTACAACCCATTTACTATGTACAAAGTCCTAAATAAAATCATGCATCGTCGATTTAAATTTAGAATTTGGAGTAACTCTCACTCAAAAACATATCACTTTGGCTGGACAAAGTTGCACAGACTCATATGAAACATGGAAGGAAAAATGTTCAAACTTACAAACGTTTCTACAACTGAAATCGTAAAGGCAATGAAAAGTACAATCAAAAGATAGACTTTCACGATCAGTTCTCGGAAATACTATACTTTGGGGTATTTTGCATACCCCGTAAAAAATACAACTTGACTGGATCACGATATACGGCAATTCCAACACGTTTTTCTTTATATATGGTACAATAGTACTTGGCTTTTACATTATGGCGCTGTCTCTCAATCAACACTTGGCGTTGTATACAAAGCAAATAACACAAGGCGTTTTGTCAGGGTCTGATAGGTTGGATTATCTGTTCGTTTGAAAATTGAACGAAAATCGCGGCACAGTCGGTTCTTTCTAGGATTGATACTACAGTAGGTTTTAAAGTACTTTTATCAGTACTTTTTCTACGATTGATACTATAGTACGTTTTAAAGTACTTTTATAAGTACTTTTTTCTGGGATTGATACTATAGTCAGTTTTAAAGTACTTTTATAAATGAAAACAAAGAGTCTAGAGTAGCGATTTGGTAATTACGAAATGATTTTATGGAGTAAAACATCGTCCATTCATAAAACGTACAACATGAAAAGGATTAGAATTGGCAAACATGAAACCACCATACACTGTAAAGATAGCAGAAAATACTTGATACTATGGTACATTGGTTGATATACATACAACACGATGTGAGCTTGTATCGTCCCAAACTAGGGGAAATGGAACTATTTCCCTCGATATCAAAGTCAGGATAATAAAGGTATCATCCTGATATTCCGAATAATTATGTTGTAGCTTTATGTGATAACTATTCAGATCCCTCGAGCCACAAACCATTCCGTTTTAAGATACATGTAACAGGTCTGGTCCCCAACACTACGAAGCTTCTTGGTATACATGTGACAGCCTTGGATAAAGCCCCCCACTAATTATGAAAGACCCTAGACGCCCACCAAACTGTTTTTACACTACATTTACACTGAAACTGAGAAAAAAAGGTTGGTTCTGATAAATGTTAACCTTAATACAAAACGAAATGAGCTCTGAAGTCGCCCTTCACGAAAAGTTCTATCAAATACATAATGTACCGGTAAGTACGTTTTCATATTCAATACGGGACAACCATAACCAAACGATTTTCTGACGATCTGAAATGTAGATATCCACCACCTGAGCCGTATGGGCAAAAGTAAAAACTTGATTCACATATTTTTATCTGGAAATTATTACAAGTTGATCAAAATGGACACAAAATAACATACATAGTAACGGAAATTTCAGCCTGACGCAGACCTGTGACCTCCGTTCCAGCCGTCCCTGGCGGGAACGCTTAGTGATTGTTGTTGTTCTTTGGTTGCTCGAAGAACATGAAGTCCTGTAAAGTGCATGTGCAGATAGAATATCAATGAATCAGGTAGAAAAGCGGATGGGGGAATTAAACTCTTTAAAGCAGCAGTAAAACGAACTCCTTTCAAAGGAACTTGATGGCGAGAAATATGCCTGAATTCTGCAGGCCTTCAGGCTAACATTTTAGAAAAAAATATTGTGGTAAAACGGGCCTTTATTGAGTCAATATAATTCATCATTCAACCGTAATCTCTGGTTGTTTGACATGAATAGACCGAGGATATTTTTGCATGACTGGGATGAGATACCAGTCCACCGCAAGGTTGCTTCCAAGGTAATACAGGATACCAGTTTCTGCTCGTTAACTAGAATGGGTGACGTGACTCGCCTGAGGCCACAACCACGGAACCATAAAGAAACGAACCCGAATGGCACTTTCCTGTAGCTCTGGTCAACTCATACAAATTCAGGAAGATACAATTCAACAAATGCACGTATACTTACAATCAAAAAGACCGCCCCAAGCAGAGTGGCCTTAACCTTGACGTCCAAGTCAGCCGGAACTGAAAATACCCAAAATAAAATCCACGTGTAAAGGGTTTGTGAACGAAAGTGACTTCCCCTTTTCATTGATCACAGAGTTCTGAGCGGCTGTGGCAACGCCAAGCAACGGCAACAGAGAGCACCATTGTCCATTTAAATTTCTCTCAGCC